TTCATAATGGAAAGTCAAGTTCAACATTATCTAATAAACTGGATAATTTAAATATTTTTATTAACAACCACAAATTTGATGTAGAACATTGGTTTGAAAACCACGATCTTGAATGTATAACTATTCCAAATTACAGACTTGTATCACACTTCTTGAGAAAACAGTATATTCATAATGGTAAAAACTGATAATATCACTGCAATAGAGTTTACACTCATAAATCAATTTACTATAGAAAATCACTATGAAATTTGTAGCCATAAGTATACAATAGATCAAAGGGATATAGCAGTCATATGTATTTATAGACCAGGTACAGGTGACATTGATATATTTGAACAGAGATTAACATCTATTTTAACCTATGCACTTAGTAAGTATAAAAACATAGTTCTAACCGGTGATTTCAACATTCATTATGACGAGCAAAATAATAGTAACACCTCGAGTAATACAAAGTTACTTATGAATATTATACACTCATTTCAGTTAAATATAACATGCTTTGAACCAGCTCGTATATTTATAAATATTAAGGGAGTTACTTCTACTAGCCCAATTGATTATATGATTACTAATTTTCCTCTCGCAACCTACGACTGTTGTGTAATTGATTCATACTTAAGGATCACAAGGGACATCCTTTCTGTAAAACTAGAATCAAGATGTAATGACAAGCGTGTAATTCCGGTTATAAAAATCAGAGATTTTAGCCTAAGCAATCTAAAAAATGTATCAAATTTAGCAAATTTTGAGTGGGATGCCCTATATTTGCTACACGAAGTGAATGAGGCATGGACTGTCTTTACGAAACCCTTAAATGGGCTCTAGGTGCAAGCTGTCCTTTGAAGAGTTTAAAAAATGTAACTTAAGGGGGCATTTGCGAATAATTGGTACACTAGGGACATAGCCCACTTACACAATCAACTAAAAGATATGCATCAACTTACTCGATTATCAAATAGTGCACAACTAAAAATTGAATTTGTAAACCTGAAAAAACACTTTAAATCAGAAGTAAAAAATCCAAAAGACATTTTTTAAATGATCAGGTGAGCAGAGTCGACAATAAAATAAATCAGGGTTCGAAAATATGATATTTATATAAATATCATATCACATGATATATATCAGTTTTAAAATTTAATTATTTAATTAAAAACAGTATTGTTTCTTGCACAAACTATATAACACAAACATATTAACAAAAACCATTCTAACCCAAATTAAAAAGAAAAAACAAAAATAATTTATAAAATTAACAGATTTTAACATTATTTTGTTAACATTATTATTTAACACAAACACATATTAAACGCTATTTATTATACTTTTATACAGGGGCGTATTGAGACATTTTCGGATGTTCAGAATGGTGTAAAACATTTTTAATTTAATAAATAAAATTATCGGATATATATCAAGATTAAATATCATGATATATATCACTTGATATATATCCTCCGAACCCTGGGATAAATTTATCTTATTATTTGGTTTTATAGATTCCTTTAAATCTGTTTAAGAAAACTAGTTTATCCTAAAGTAAACTATGCTTTATCGCTGTCCTGTAAGGGTTAATTAATAAGTAATTTTAGAACTATTTAGCTTGAAGATACACCTAAGGTGTGTTTGGTATTAAAGAGGAATACTTTTTAACAGTTATCTTAAGTAGGTTTTAAAACTTAGTTTTAAAAAGTGTTTTAGGATTATACTTTAAAATAAATTGATCCCAGAACCTTTTAGGTACATTTTCTACAATTTTATAACATAACTCTTATAATTTATTTAATCTAGTAAACGATAGGGCTCTTTTAAAACTACATAGTTTTAATAAGAACAAAGTTTGTTTTAGAGCATAACCTAGCTTTTCAATACAATCACATTATGTTGACGTTGAAAGATAAATTGTTCAAAGTAAAGTGGTAATTTGAATAGAGAATGAAAAAAAAAATATGTATCTCCTTCTCCTCAGTGTTTAATAAGTTCATTGTGTTCCATTGTTTAACAAATGTCAAAACATTCCTAGGCTCCTAATATTCTGGAAATGATCAGTGAAAGAGAAAAATGGTTATTATATTATTACTAATTTTTATATTTTGAATGACTTGTTCGTAGAGTAAATAAGAAGCTCAAAAGTGAGGTTAGGTTATACCCATCTGATTGAACTTATGAATGTTTTATTGATGTTTTCGTTTTTTCTATTGTTTTATGAAACGCTTTAAAAAGTGTAACAGGAGCCTTTTAAAACTGGAAAGTCCTAAAAAGTATTTTTTTTATTTATTTTATATGCTAATGTCCGTTTTTAGGTACAGGTAGAACACAATGAGAAAATCCTCCATTTTAAATATGACAGTGGCTGTTTAACTACATTGGTACCTGTCGATCAGACCTATACCTAAAGGATATTCAAATAAATTATGGTCAAAGTTCAAATATTTCTAAAATCTTTCGATTTTAGTAATGCCGTTTTTTGTGTACCAAAGACAGTGTCAATGACAACAGTGTGCCAATGACAGTAGATTTATTATTTATGATTATGTTTACTGCCTTTAACCATATAATGTCAAATTTGTCAAATATATTTACAGCCAACTCCTTTTAGGGTATATAAATGTAATTTATATTGGAATATTCTATAATGTTATACAACTCTTGCCTCGCCTAAAGTAATTTATGACTTAAACACAAAGTTTGTTTCTGATAGTCCAGTAGGTAGTATGCGCAATTGAAAATGGTTTTCTGACGATGACAAGTATCCATGCAAAGACAAATCTACAATAGGATTTATATTGGCGGTTAAATAGTCACTTCCATGAAATAATTTGAAAAATACAATATGTTACATTTTATATGAAAAACATATCAAAGACAAATGTAATCATTTTATAGTGCTATATATACGATATTTACAATGTTATTTTCTATTAAATAATTTTCGGTAAATAGATTAGAATCCGTATAATAATCCTTTTTTTACGTATATTTCATATATTGTAAGACCCATCATTTATTACGACCCACCTTGTCCACTTTTAACAGTACTTTGGTGTGTGTTTGAAAATTGAAGAAATAACAAGTGTAGCTAAACAAATTAAACACACTATATAATAATTAATTTCTAATATGGCAGTCTTCCCAACATGTTTGCAAAATCATTCTGTCAGAGAGTATGATAAAACAGAATAAAGCTAAAACAGTTTAAAATTTAATTCTCTTAAAACTGATTAGTTTTGTGTAAAGTTTTTATGCATATCCAACTTATTATCATAATCTTAAAAAATATTTAAAAATTGTTTAATAAAATTTTTAATATACTTTTACGGACTTAGTCTTAGGTCTAATTAGTTTTAAGATATTGTTTTAAAAATACTTCTAAGAACCGTTATAGGATTCTCCCTTTTACTCTTAAAGCAGATTTATAGCAGCCCTAAGGCTATTTCGCGGATTCAAAAGTTTTATCAGTGTCTTAAAAAAGGGTTTTATGGTTACCTTGATAAATCTAAAAATGTTACTTGGGTTGTCACTTTTCTGCCATTTGTACCAATATGGTTAGTGATCATTCTGAAAACAATATATCACAGAGTTGTACAGTGGGTCAACATATTGTAAACTCTTTTTTTGTTAGTTATATTCCTATGGAAGACATAAAATTAGTGTTTGATAAAGTTAAAAAGAAAAAGTGTTATCGACGAATTATCGCCCAAAATACTGAGGTTACTTGAAATAAGAATAGTGGTGATTAGCTCTAACCATTTGAGTTCTATTAGTAAGATCCAATCCATTGCACTCAGACCATATTTGTTAAGCTTTTGAAGTAAGAGAGTATGGTTAATCCTGTCAAAAGCTTTGGAAAGTCAGTATAGAGAGAATCGATTTGTAAACCTACAATGGCCCTTTTTTGTATTAAGGTTTGACAAGTTATTGTAATTGGTATGTAGTATGAGGAAACATTAACTTTAGATTTGGTCATCGTTTAAATTTATTATGTGTGGTGTAAACTGAAAAAAAAAAAAAAAAAATGCCTTGCAAACAGATTTGCTACTTCACTACTGCAACATGCTTATGTAGACAGTTGGTGGCATATGAAAAACTTTTTTATTAATAATATTAGGACGAAAGGTTATTCTTCATAAAAAGTCGAGCATGGTCTAAAACTTAAAATACAACCATCAGATATCAAATCTTATATTGGTACTTTATAAAAGGAAATCTCCTTTTCTAAAGTTTTTTTTTTTTCCTATTTTTTCTTACACCTTTATTTATATTTTTTCCTTGTAGTTCTTGGGTTTTTAGGTGTTGGTTGGGGAATGAAACTCGTGTATGTGGGTAAATCTTATAAGTCATATAGGAGGTTTTTCAAAAATAAAGGTATTTTACTCTTCAGCAAAATTCATATTTTTTGACAAACCTTCGTATACGGCTTTAAAAAATTGATATCTGATGGCTGCATTTTAAGTATTGGACCATGCAGAACTTTTTATCAAGAATAATTTTTTCACAAAACCAATAATAAAAAGTTCCATATGGTTCCAACTTAATTAAACACACTGTATATTAAATGCACTATCTGCTGGAATGTATATTGCACAGAATTTGTATTTATCAAAATTAATCTGAACTTCTACAGTGATTGCCTCAAAAATAGAACTATGCTTTACAATATTTAAAAGTTTCATGTTTTTCTTAACTGCGATAAATACTCCTGTTCTCTTATTAATATGACATCCAGAATATATGTACATCGCCAAGCGTTACCGTTTCGATGATGGTGGGTGGGGCTTTCCTTGTTTTCCTCACCTGTAAGTCAAATTACACCAGCAATCATCTTTATAATAAATTATACCCGTCCCTTCCCCACACAAACTCAGTCGGCGTCAGGGGTTGAAATTCACTCTTAAAGGGGTGAATAAGGAATTATTATAAATAAATATAAATTTACATACAAAAAAATGTATTTTGTTTAGGAATGTGTATATTTAATTTATCCTTGTTTTCAGCATCTGAATTGTTAAAAGAGGCAGAAAGGTTAGTTGAACAGAAAATTCATCCTCAGACTATAATTGCTGGATGGAGAAAAGCAGTTGATGCTGCAAGAAAGGCCTTATTAGATGCTTCCAAAGACAATAGTGCTAACCTGGAAGCATTCAAAGAAGATCTGATGAATATAGCAAGGACCACATTAAGTTCAAAAATCCTCTCACAACACAAGGAACACTTTGCCAAACTTACTGTAGATGCAGTATTGAGATTAAAGGGTTCTGCTGAACTGCAATCCATCCAGCTGATTAAAAAAACTGGAGGTACTTTGCAAGATTCTTTTTTGGATGAGGGTTTCCTTTTAGATAAACGGCCTGGTGTTCATCAGCCCAAGAGAGTAGAAAATGCAAGAATTTTGATTGCCAATACACCCATGGACACTGACAAAATTAAAGTATTTGGGTCACACATTAAAGTCGACTCTATGGCAAAAGTAGCAGAGCTGGAATCTGCAGAGAAGGACAAAATGAAAGATAAAGTTAACAAAATCTTGAAACACAATGCAAATGTATTCATTAATAGACAACTTATTTACAACTATCCTGAACAGCTGTTTGCTGATGCTGGAGTAATGGCTATTGAGCATGCAGATTTTGATGGTATTGAAAGATTAGCACTTGTTACAGGTAAGATTCAAAATAATAAATACAAATTAAACTAGAAATTTGCTTCATTATAAATTTGAAATAAATATGCCAATTTTATTTTTCAAAAACAAAACCAGTAATATCGGAATTATTTTTTATTATTTAGCATATTTATTTCTCATACACAACCCTCCTCCAAAATGGTTAATTCAATTTTGGTGACTTCAGAAAAGCCAGTAATGAGAAAATAAAATTTGTAATCTCATTTTTAGTATATTATGGCTATAGTTTATCACAACACAAATAACTCTTCAATGTCAATAATCTTGTAAATCATATTTTTACTAATAAAACATTTTTTGCCTAGGAGGAGAAATAGTCTCAACTTTTGACCACCCAGAGCTTGTCAAATTAGGCACTTGCAACTTAATCGAACAAATTATGATTGGAGAAGATACTCTTCTACGTTTTAGTGGAGTTGCTCTAGGAGAAGCTTGTACCATAGTCATTCGTGGAGCTACCAGACAAATCATTGAAGAAGCAGACCGTTCCATACACGATGCTCTTTGTGTACTTGCTGCAACCGTCAAAGAAAGTAGAATCGTTTATGGTGGTGGATGTAGTGAGACATTGATGGCTACTGCTGTGACTAAAGCTGCTGCCAACACTCCAGGAAAAGAAGCAGTTGCCATGGAAGCCTTCGCCAGGGCTTTACTTCAACTACCTACCATTATCGCTGATAATGCAGGTTATGATTCTGCACAGCTGATAAGTGAACTAAAAGCTGCTCACAACAGTGGCCTTAACACTATGGGACTCAACATGGACAAAGGAGAGGTGGGAGATATGAAAACTTTGGGAATCACAGAATCTTTTGTTGTAAAGAGGCAAGTGTTGGTGTCTGCTGCAGAGGCAGCTGAAATGATTCTTCGTGTTGATGATATTATCAAGGCAGCGCCTAGAAGGAGGACAGAAGACAGAGGGATGTGCTAGTTAACATTTGATTTTTCTTGGTTTAAGCTTCTCGTTTTAGTTGTAATACTGCGTAATTAATGAATATTTTGCATAACTATTGTACTTGTTCTTTATTTTCTAATAAACCATCTTAATATAAATATTTGTATTTTCACATTTTTAACCTATACAAATTTTACATTATAACTTATTTTTAGAAGGGTGTAAACTTATTGATCTGCAAATATATTCAGCATAGTCCAAGTACAACATTTATATGAATTTGATGTTTCTCAAGGCTCAATCTTGGGGTTGGGACCAAACTGTTTTATAATCATTAATTATCAACAAAATCTTGAGCCAATGCCAGAGGTATACTGTTGGATTTTGAAAAAATACAATATTCTCTGTCATTTGAAATTACAAAATTTTTATTATTACACCCTTCAGACCCCACGTGCTCTCACCCTAATCTGTTTGTAGCATGATGGCACTGCAGCCTGTGACTTATTGTACCACCATTTGAAGATCCTACTACTTTTCTATCTACTCATTTATTACACGTCAATAGTCAAACCAAACGCTAGTCAGCTAAGTCCCATGATGGAACGTTTGTGTCGTCAGTCATCCAGGATGTGACCGGAGAGATTACACTTTAACTCCGGTTTATGATTAGCATACTTTGGACTGACAGTACGTTTTAATTAATGGATTGCGGCGCCTGGTCCAAAATGGAAAAACATTTATACGTTTTTTTTTATGTTTGAATCTTGATTATTATATAACGATCAAGCTAGTCTTGAGTGGCAGAAAAAGGGATGCAAAATAATAATTACATTCATATTAAAAATAGTTTTGAAATCTAATCTAAATTTTTTAAATACGGATCTGTCTTCGCATTTCAAAATCGGACCAATGAAATTTAGTTAGTTATATAGATTGCGCATCTAAATCGGTAGACGGAGAATGAAGAAGGGTAAGTTCGTATTGGAACTAGACGGATTGGACAGAGTGCGTGACGTCATAGAGTTCACTCATAATCTCGAGGGGAATGACACTGGTGATAGTTTGCACTTGAATACACTTTTGTGTGTGTCTGTATGGACTAAAAAAATATTTTAATCAAATAGGAAATAGTTTAAAAAAAAAAACAAGAAATAATACGGGTAAAACTGATTAATCATAGATCAGAATATTGACATTTTTGAAACATTCCTACAAGGAGCCGATTCTCAAACTATGGGAAAATGAGTGTAAGTAATCTCTTATGATTTGGCCTTGCTGCGCATGTCACTCTACTAAAATTATAAGCATTGCGTTCGGTCTGCCAAGTTCCTTTAACACTTTTAACTCCAAACGACCCTTTTAGCGTTAGGTTTAGTCCGATTAGTGACAGTTTAACACGCTTAAATGTCATTTAAAAGCACCCTAAAATTTGTCCCGCTCCAGCCCCTGACTGACCGAACTCGCCTAAGGAATCATGTCAACAGCGAGAGCAGTGTTGCAAGACGTATTTTACAGTTTTGGTTACTAGGTTGAATACAGTAATATACCAAGGTTTCAGAAAATTTGACTTTACATAAATGATATAAAATAAAATTAATGACTTCTTTAAAAATGTATAGTCAAAAACAATTTGAAGATTAAAATTAGAAAGGATTACAAAAAAGAAATTATTTTGAAACTTTAGCTGGACAAGAATAGGTTATTATTTTTCTTTTGTTTTTTTATATGTATATTCAATATAGTATATTACATTACGAGTGTGGAAAATCACTTTTCACACAAGTGATGTACAATATTTTTCCTACGACCACAAAATAATTTCATCAAAAAATGTAAAACCAGATTATTATAATAATTAAGTGTATTTAAAAAAATAATCAACAATAATCGTATTTATTCAATTTCTAAACAAATAAAAAACAAAACAAAAATTCTGGCACAGCCAGGATTTGAACGCGGTCGCTGGACGGTCTCAAATTGCAAAGTTGACGCTCTAACCAACTGAGCTAACAGGCCTTACGGTAATTGATTGATCTAATCGCTTATGTGTTTAACCAGAATAAAAAGCAGATATATCTTAGTTATTTTAAAATTATTTCAATAATAATTGTTAAAGATAAATATCTAGGATCTAATTTACAACAATTTCAATAATTTAACAATCATATCGATTTTAGTATTAATATGGACATTACATAGATCAAAATAGAAATTATGTGTTTGACATTTTCTGACAGCTACTGCCGAAAGTAGCATATTCGTACGCGGGTAGAAAGTAAATTCTTATACGCGTGTGATATAGGGCAGTTTCCATAGAACTATATAGTGTGATATGTGTCACTTTCCTAAGTGGTCGTAGGAAAAAGTACTTTTTTCTTAAAGTAATTTAATTTAAATACGTGTTTACGATATGCACTTGGCGAAAAAAATCCTATTCGAACGGGTCACTAGAGCTCGGACTCGCATTCATCTCATTTGTTTGAATGCATTTGACGAAAGCGCTATGCCGTGGAAAGAGCCTCAGTGAAGTAGTGAAATTGTTGAACCGAAATAATTAACAGAGCAAGAGGTAAGTAGATGTAGATACCCTTATTTTTAATACGCATTTTGTATCATTTATAAACATAATTTATTTTATGTTACATAAACTAAGGAAATATAGTAGTGATGCATACAGCAGATTTTATGGGGTTGATTAAACAACCCCAGACTAATGATGCCCGATTTGTATGGTATGACAATATAAAACTATCTAGGCCTAGATTCACGAACTTTGTATTTTTGTTCCGAATCAATAAACTTTTAAATGTTCACATGTGATGTGACAAGCCGAACACAAAAGAGTACGCTCCAAGTGCTACGACGACCACAATTAAGGCATAACGAGTGCACTCTGAGTACAGTGAACGCAAAGCCGAACTCAACCGCATAGAGACCCCTCAGCCTAAAAGAAGATTTCACTGGGCGAGGTTTTATCTTTATCTAATATAATGCAATAGTTATATGTGTACTCTTCTAAACAAATCATAAATAGATAGTAAACATAATTTTACGGATAATTAATAGTTTATATTTTTAATTGAAACTAGTGTTAGGATGTTACTATAAAATTAGAATGTCCAATTGGCAGTAGCGGCTTGTGGTTAAAGATACTGGGTGTTCAGCAAGATTCTGCCTGTTCCCCTCCCCAAAAAAAGCAATTATAATTTAACAGCTTTAATTCACCACCTACTGTTTATACATTATTTCTCTTCTGCGATCCTTTTTAGCAGCAAACTTATACGCATATTTAAAAAATCTCTTTTCGTTTATTAACTCATCAACAACATCCATATTTTTCATGTACAAGGGAAACGCGCGTTGGCGAATTAATGGCAAAAAATGCAGCACAAACACTATACGCGTTACTTTTTAGAGAGACGCAGGGATGAGTGTGGGTGCCGAAACGGTGTGCCCAGACCATAGATACCGAAGCGACCCAACTGAGAAATGAATATGAACTGGCAAGGTCTATACTTATTCTCAGCTATGTTACGATTATCAATAAAATTTATTTTACGTATATTTTTAGAATGTCTAAAATAATATCTGTGAAATATAGATGAGATACTTGCATTTTTTGGCAGATCTGCAGCTCTACACAGCACTTTCATTCAGCATAGTCGCCACTGTCAATTTGACAAACATATCGTTTCTATTTATGAAATTAATTTTGTTTGGAAATCAGGAGAACTTTATTCTGTATCAATAGGATTTTAAGATTAATAGGAATTTTTTGAGCATTGCGAAAAATTACTTTTATTTTACTGTACTGACTTACACTATCAACTAGTTAAAATTAAAATGTACACTTTTAAATTAAAATAGTTTGTAGCAGTTTAAGGACCGATTCCACCGTTGTGTTAAATGGAGATTAAAATGACATTGTTAATGTAAAAATGTCATTTTAAACTTCGTTTAACACAACGGTGGAATCGGTCCTTGGGCAACTAGTAAGTCAGATGATTTTTTTTAATATATCATATATTAACCCAGACAACACACCAAATCCCAGAGATATCCACAGAATATATTTTGTGGATATCCAATATATCCACAGGATATCAGAAATATTCCGTGGAACTAATATGGATATCCAAATGTCCGTCTATATCCAGAATATAGAAGATATCCTATGGATATTCAGCAAAATATCTAATGAGTATCTCCAGACAATACAAGAAATCCCAGATATATCCATAGAATATATTTTGTGGATATCCAACCAAATGTTCGTCTATATCCCAGGATATAGAAATTCAGATGAATATTTTATAATTATTTTTAGTAGAGGTTCATAAGTAACCAATGGTTATTGAATAACGTCGAAAGAAAATAGAGGTAAAAAATATTCCCAACAATCTGCATTTGATTTTGCCTACTAAGGAGAAAATCATCCTTATTAGGAATCTTCAGCAATAAATGGAACTTCTCGACTTCAGTCTTTAATGAAGTCTGTTTGTGAAACAATGTCGATCAAACTCAATTATGGCGGGTTAAGCATGAGTAGATACGAAAGTGGTATCGCCATCTATACTTAGGAAGCAAAATCAAAAATTACATCTAGTAGATATCCACGATGGTTTGCGTCCGCGCTTAGACTTTGATATATTTATATTTATAGTGGATGTCCATGGGATATTGAATACACCTTAAAAAAAATTAATTTTAAATATCTCAACGGTACTATTAGCCACAATGGCGAGTACAATGGCGTAATTTTTTAATAATTTGCTATATAATTACAATTATTTATGGACATTTGCATGTCTATAAATTACATTTCATGGATATAAAATAGATATCCACCATGGACTGGACATTCAGTGGATATTGGGATGTTCAGTAGATATCCAAAGGATTTGGTGTGCTGTCTGGGAAGTTTTCATATAGGCGGGTTTCCACAGAAGGAAGAATATACCTTCGGTCTCGGAAATCCGCTTGCGTTTCTAATTATTTTATTTTTGATTAGCCTTACATAATTCTCATTCATCGCTGTGATAAACAGACAAGACATTATTGCAATTATTGTCAAAAGAGAATGCAACAAACCTTAAAATGTTAAAAATCTTGTAATACAAAGATGTTTTATATCACATATCAAAGTTGTTCACATACCTTTTTAAAGTTGTATTACATATTGCAATTATATGTTTAATATAATGTTATTTATCAAACAAAAATGGTCTAAAATTGTTTACATCTATAAATTCTACAAAAATGTTTTCAAGTTTCTCAAGATTATCTCGTTTCTTGAAGCAAAAATTAAGGTGATTCTTTTTATTTTCTAAATATTCGAATGCTGATATTATAGGTCTTTTCCTTTGCATCGAAAGTGTAGCACTGAGCTACACTACTTCTGAAAATATCGTTCTATTTATACAAATTGTATGGATAGAACGATATTTTCAGAAGTGACGTAGTTCAATGCTACACTTTCGATGCAAAGGAAAATACCTTTTATTTTATAAAAGATTTGGGCTAGAACGGTTCTGTCCAATTTCCATTCCTCTTGTCTTACATATTGGTGAGCAATCTATATAACTGTATACCTCATTGGTTCAAATTTATCTGACAGATGACGTATGTCAATCCATTTTGATACCGACCTAACCTCATTTTATTCACTTCACATGTGAAAATACTGAAATTTTAAACGGGGCTATTTTTACATGCCACCCGCCACAATGTCTTTTTTCATTAAAGGAAAGCAACAAAACGGACTAAAACGATCTAAATATTCGACAACTAAAAACAAAAAGCGAAAAATTGTATCAAAACCATCAAAAAGCAAAAAAGATGAAGAAATTACCAGCAGTGAAGATGAAGACTTAATTAATGATAAAATTTCGGAGGCCTCCTTATCCGAAGATGAAAACGAAACTGCTCAAGAGAAAAAGGTTCGATTAGCAAAAATTTACTTGGAGGAAATTGAAAAGGAAGAAAGAGCTAGAAGAGAGGACAAGGAAATAGATGAAAGTGTAATTGCTAGAAGACTGAATGAAGATTACTTAAAAGAAACGGGAAAACTACGACTAATAATAGCCGATAAATACAAAACTGTGGATCAGGATAACATTAAAACTTTAAAGTGCAGAGAGCAGCATAAAAGTATTACCTGCCTTTGTGTTTCTTCAGATGATGAATATATATTTGTTGGTAGCAAAGATGGAGTTGTAGTAAAATATTCGTTATCAGACAATAAAAGAATAGGTGTTATTCCCTTTATAAAAAGTCCAGGCAGTGAAGTTACAGGACACAGTAGTGAAATATTAAGTGTAGCAATATCTTCCGATAACAAATATCTAGCTGTAGGTACAAAATCTAGTGATATCCATATCTGGGATCCAAGTACATTTAAATTTATAAAAAAGTTTACTGGACATAAAAATGCCATTACAGGATTATGTTTTAGAAAGGACACTCACACTTTGTACTCCTGCTCAAAAGATAGAACAGCAAAAGTTTGGAGCTTAGATGAAATGGCTTATGTTGAAACTTTATTTGGCCACCAAGATGGTATATCTTCAGTAGATTCTCTATATAAAGATAGATTAGTTTCTAGTGGAGGTAGAGATTTGAGATTGTGGAAAATAACAGAAGAAACTCAATTAATTTTCAATGGTCATGTAGGTAACATAGACAATGTAAAGTTCATAAATGAAGAAACGTTCGTTTCTGGTGGTGATGATGGACAAATATGTATTTGGAGCATGATGAGGAAGAAACCACTTTGTGTTATTAATAATGCTCATGGATTGGATTTGAATACTAAGCAACCCCTATGGATAACTGCAGTTACAGCTCATCATAACACTGATTTACTGGCTTCAGGCTCTCAAGATGGTTTTATTAGACTATGGAAATTGGAAAATAATTTTAAAAATCACAAATTAATTATGAAGGTCCCAGTAGAAGGTTTTATCAACTGTTTGCAGTTTACCTCTGATGGAAGGAGACTTTTAGTGGGAGTTAGCAAAGAACATAGGTATGGAAGGTGGAGCACAGTACCAACGGCAAGGAACTGTGTAGTTGTCATACCATTCTTATTAAGTTAATTTTTTTATATTGAAAGAATGTAAATATTTTTTTTTTTAATTATGAAATATATTATTTTCAAGTTTTGTATATTGTTTTCTATAAAAAGAATATGAAAAACAGGAAGTAAATTGAAATAATTTATTTAAAAGGTTCTCGTCTTTTTTTTTACAAATTAAGTGAGTAACTATTGATTCCAAAATAATTAAAATATAAATAATTAGAGAGTAAACCAAAGTCTAATCCTTTAAAGTAGCTAGAAGTTCTCCAGATTCCAACATTTCTTTGATTATATCAAGGCCACCTATCAATTCACCTTTCACATATAGCTGTGGATATGTGGGCCAGTTGGAATATGTTTTTAAACCTTGTCGGACCTCTTCATCACTCAAAATGTCAAATGTTTCATATGGAATACTGAAATAAAATAAATTCAGTGTTTAACAAAAAATATTGAGTCAATATCAATTTGCAGTAAATGAATTTAAAATCAAATTTTAGGTTACATCAGTGTAAAATTCTGGACCAAGGGTCTAAGAGACAGTATAGAAAAAAGGATGCAATTTTACAAAAACACATCCAGACTTGTATGAATAAGAATATCAATCATTTACCTACCTAATATCATTTAATATAGCTATTATTTGCTTGCTGAAACCACATCGAGGTACATTACGGTCTCCTTTCATAAAAAGCATTACTTTTCCCTTGTTTATTAATGCCTTCAGTCTTTCATTCAAAGGAATATTCTGGTCACCAACAGATAATCCATTGTATTTTTGTAATATTTCCGTAATTTTTTCAGTATTTGCACCGTGTATAACTTCTAAACTCTTACCAGACCGAAATAGTATCAATGTAGGAACAGCTTCAATGTTATATTTGGCAGATACTTCAGAAAGTTCTTCTGCAGGGCAAGAGTAAAATTTAAGGTTTGAGTAATTTGATTGGGAGGATAAAGCTTCTAACAGTTGGTTTATGTGAATACACTGATCCGCCCATTCTGCTTGGAAATGTACTACGGAAATAACAGGGGCCCTAAAATGAACTTTTATGTTTGGATGCAAATTTATTATACTTTTACTCACTTTATGGCGTCTTCAAAGGCGGTTTGGGTTTTTAATAGTGTTACCATGTTAATTATTTAGTTATTTAGGCAATTATTACGGAAAAACTAGTAAAAACCAATCGAAAAGAAGATAGGTTATCTTGATCTGTACAATTTTTCTGGTGATTATGATAAGGTTAGAAAATCGACACTGACAAGTGACATGACAGCATCATAGAAGTTTTCTGCCTATGATTTCTAGACAGTTTACTTGGAATTAGTTAAGAGGGCGCGCATATCAAAAACTGCAATAAAGGAGGGTATGCTTTTGCTAGGGAAATTTGGGCGGTGTCTGACAAAAAATTTAAATCTTTTAAATGCTTAGAAACGAGTATGAAGACTAGAGATAAGGAGACAAATCGGCATACTCAAAATACGGTCCCAAAAAACGCATGCTAATTGAGCTTCTATAATTAACCGCATGGGCGCTGGTACTGCATACGTTGTTCAAAATACATGGCTTCTAATGAGAATAATACATAATTTTGTTAAAATAATAAAAATAAACTTGTTTAGAGCTAAATAAAGTAGAGAACATACTGATGTATTTATTTCTAAATAAGTATTGCCTGTTTTAATTGATAAATTATTTAATTTTATCTATATAAAATACAAATTAGGTATGTATGACCAAATTCGAAAAGGTTTCTTAATTGTTGAAATTTGATAAGTACAATTTTGTGGCAATTTTTTTTTTGAATTGAACCAATATATAGTTTTAAGAGTAAAATAAAACACAGTTAACAGATTTTTTATTGTTGTAATACAAGTATATAAAGGGAGATTTGGGAATGTACATGGTATTACCTCATCCTTTAATATCAGCTTTCTGCTTTTTATTTTGCTAACAGTACCATCAGTAAAAGTAGTATCATAATATTTGATAATATCTTCTAAAGAGTATAAAACAGCATCATCTCTAGAAAGTGCTTTATCGGCACTAGGAACGATATACTGCCACTGTTCTAAACGTTTAGTATCCTATAAAAAACAATGACACAATTGGGGCCCACAAAAAAAATAACAGTAGCAACTCTTTATCTAACATTAAAACTCTATAAAAAATACATTTTCTTTTTTAGTAAGTTAAATGCATAATTATTGTTGTTTGTAAGTCAACAGCATCTATAACTGTAAAATTTTATATTATAGAAACTTATAATAAAATAAACTACACTTCGTATGATACATATTTGTGACTAGTTTACAATAAATATTATATTTATTAGATATTAATACATTATTTTACTTACATTAAAAGCTTTAAAAAGACATTGAATTGATTTCTTCTTGTTTTCTTTAGTTTTACATTTGATTTTTATCCTGTTTTACAATCTGAAACGACGTAAATCTTGCTTTGATGTTTTTTGTCACTCATGTTATTTGTACTCAGGTACTTTTTTTCACATTATTTTGATTCTTTTCATCAATTTATTAAAAAATCGCTTTATTTTACATTGGCTTACATAGAAAATTGATTTTTTATTTATATAAAGTTTTGAGAATGATTACTTTCCTGAAGAATCTGTTGCTCTATTGCGATTAAGATATTCGATTTTGACAATGAAAATATGGATACAACGATTGCAAGAGCTTAACTGGATTAAAGATTTTAAGTAAAGCGCAGTTTGCAACGGTTGTAGGTAACTGCAATAACTTGATACATAGAAGACAAGTTACAAAAGAGAATTGCGTAGCTATTTTTCTAATAAAACTGAGAAATGATCCAACTCAAAAACTTTTAAGCAAGATGTTTGGCGTGAAACTGAAGCAACAATATCTTATTAGCAAAATATTCCACGATGTTCTTAACTCACTTAGTTCACTTTGTTCCTCTTCATCTTGGTTACCAACATATAACTCGTCAAGAATACGCTACTTTTCACAGTACCACTACCTCAAATCGTTTGTTGATGCCACATATACTTGTACCACGAAAAACCTGTTGATCATCCTTCTCAGCGAATGACATATTCTTTGCCAAAACACTAGAATTTAGTTAATTCTCGGTTGTGACAGCACCAGATGATTATTGATGTTACCGGCCCGCATGCTTCAGATGCTAGAAACAATGATTCGTCGATATTTAACGCTATGGCTGTTAACGAGGACCGATTTTTTTCATTTTTTCAAGAAGGCGACAGCATATTGTATATGATCGCGGTTATCGAGACTCGATGCAGTTTTGCTAAAATATGGGACTAAATCAGGACTAAATGTTTTTATGCCACCTTTTCTTCCCAACGGCCAACGTCAACTAACTACTCAGCAAGCAAATGAATCATGACTTATTACAATGGTTAGATGGGTAATTGAAGCGGTTTTTGGAAGACTTATAAATAAGTTTCGGTTTCTAAGAAATGTTGTGCCAAACAGTTACGAATGTGAAACATTTGGGAGCATTTTTAGAGTAATATGCGTGCTTCATCCAATGCGTTTTTGTGCCTATAAATGAAAGTGGGCCTGTAGATGACACATTCTGTGCCAAGGTTTTGGAACGTTTGATTCTCCCTAATAATTTATTAGACAGAATTAGAGATGAACGCCTAATTCAAGGTAGAATTGATTGGCCGCTGGTAGACGGATTTATTGACCTTCAAGACTTTCCAATTTTATCGGAAAATGAAATTCAGGACTTAACACTCGGTCTTTAATTATTTACCTTTATCGTCCGATTTTATTGCTATCACACCAAGAAGTTTTGAGATGTTCAAAACTTCGCCTAGTTTAAAACGCTTCTATAACACTCGACATTATCTGTCTTTCTTTCTTTCTCTCTGTATTTTCGAGATAAGTCCATCAAGGAGTCTGCTACACTAACTAGTTACTCGTATTTCCATAGTAACGTGGTCTTATTTGCATTACCGCTACCATCTATGTATTACGTCGAAACCCTGGATACGCACATAAGCTTTGTTGCCAAAATGTTTATTTTATCATTATTTTGTCTTCAAAAACTCCGCCATAAAATAGCTTTTTTGAAGATGTTCCGGAATGGTTTGAATGTTAAAATTTTCGGAAAATGTTTCTTTTTTATATATTTATATAAGTGTGCAAAATCTTATGACCGAGAGCACGGGACCCAGAAAAGCATACCCTCCTTTCTTGAATGTTTAATTTGAAATATGAATTGACTAAAAAGAGTATGATATATTTATAGATAGTACGATTATATTTAACTTTACCTAAAAAATATATCATGAACGATAAATGATCAATGTTCTTAAATAACAATGATTAAGTGGTTTCAAAAAAGTGATCTAAATCCGATGTGTAACACCAAGTTTAAATTACTAAACGAAGATTAAAATGACATTTTTACAATAACAATGTCATTTTAATTTTCGTTTAGTAATTTAAACTTCGTTTAAAACAACGGTGTGGTAGCTGTAGCGCCTCAGTTGCACTACATACGTTAAAATGTCACACACTTAACACTTTTTAGCTAACCCTTCAATTTGTGGCAGTCCTAGCATGACAAAGGATAAACTCATCTCCTAAGCAACTTTGGTTGCTAAGAATTATTGATCATCATGATTATGACTTATATTTTTATATGCAAGACATGTCTTTTATTCTTCGAATTAAATAGATCTTATACGTCTTAGCAAAAGTATTTATTTATGATGGGATCCGACATTTTAAAGATCCCACAATTGGTGACTCCGATAGAACAGCCCAAGATAAAAAAAAAATCTGGTTAGAACAGAGAATCCAATAGAGACCACAGCAGAGCCTGTAATCGGCTGAATCGCCAAGTTCAACAGCAGCAGCAGTATGAGCAAGACACATTTATTGTACGGAGGTGAGTTTATTCTTTCTACTGGCTGCCACACAATTAAGCTTCACACACTTTTGAACATACGAGTACTAATAATTAAAAAAAAATCGCAATACAAGACCATACAATAACAGCGTAATACACAACGCACATCACACATGCAAGCAGCATTTTGTAGGTACAAGACTCGGTCCACACATATGTGGAGGTCCCAATTGTCGCATGCTAAAGGAGCAACCGCCCACATGCGCCCACACATATGTGCATATATGTGGGTTCCAATTTTCGTATGCTAAAGGATCAATCGTCCACATGCGCCCACACATATATGCTAGTGGAAAATAGTCCTTACTTTTTTTACCTAGGGCAAATAAACGTCCCGGTAGAAAACACCAGAAGATACAAAATTGGTATCACGATAGTATTCTTCAAGTAGAAAGGACCTATCGGATACCTAGCACTTACTAATTCTAAAAACCATTCTTGTCAATAACACAAAAGATGGAAACGCAGAAACTTTAAATTATACAAGAAAAACATTCCATAAGAAAATCTAACAGAACATTGTATTAACACGTACACTTAAAAAAAGGGGGAAAGTATTGTAGCGCCTCAGTTGCACTACATACGTTAAAATGTCACACACTTAACACTTTTTAGCTAACCCTTCAATTTGTGGCAGTCCTAGCAGGACAAAGGATAAACTCATCTCCTAAGCAACTTTATTTGCTAAGAATTATTGATCATCATGATTATGACTTATATTTTTATATGCAAGACATGTCTTTTTATTCTTCGAATTAAGTAGATCTTATTCGTCTTAGCAAAACTATTTATTTATGATGGGATCCGACATTTTAAAGATCCCACAATTACATATCGATGGTCAGTTTCCATATGTGGCTATCTACAAAATCTTAATTGTCCAGAAAACACAAAAGTAAGTTTAAAACACTCCATCAAATCAGGTTTTATAAATAGCTCATTTATTTAAAAACCTTGTCTTAGTTTATACAGTTCTTAATTGTTTTGGAGAAATTTTGACTTATTACGGTAATCCAGGACTTGTTATGAAACAAATTAAACAAAAAAAGTACAGTTAGCCATTTTTGACACCAATATATTTTCTCAAAATCGTAGTAATACAAAGAAACCTAAAACTAAAAACAAGAGCCGGCAAACTTGTAGTTTGGGCGGGTACTAAAACGTATGTCTACACTAATTTGGTATGAGGTTATGTGAAGCTTTTCGGTTTAATTTGAGCTGTGTCCAGGCCGTAGGAGTCTATGCCGGTTGGCATAGCCAGGTATGGGTTGATAT